TGAGAGACTAAAAAAGAAGTTGAAATATTTAGGGGAACCACAAACATATTTAACCCTTATTATTATTATTAGGCCACATGATATCTAGTGTATATATAAAGAAATACAAATTAGTATAGTGGGCCTATACGCAAGAAGTACAAAAATACACTATGAATTCTAGAATCAGAATGACATTTTTGATAAAACAATGTGATTGGGAGAGGAAAAATAGGCAGTAAAAGTATCTAACATGTTTTCTCTTTCCAACGCATTGTCACAACATTCAAATGAACATTACAGTCCAAGTTATAGCCTCTAGAGTGAGACATGATCAAAATGAGTTTAATTGAAAAGTTACTTAATAAAATTGTTAAGGTCCAATTAAAATCCAAAATTTTCAAATAGGCTAGAAGGTATGGATATTTGCAAAACGTATAATGTTAGAGGAATGCTCTTTCCATTCTTGGTGGTGCCTCCCACATCTTTGAAAATGCGAAACTGCCTTTCAAATATCCAGAGATGCATCTTTGATGCACCCAAATTACAACAAAAATGCGCTATTCTGATATCCACCACATTTTTTATCAAATTACGGTTCGAAGATGCATCTCCGTATGAGTATTTGGGGTATTCGGAGATGCATCTCTGAGATATTCCTTAAAAGTTTTTGAAAACGTGGTAAGTATAAAAGGGGGATTTATTTCAGAGATGCATTTCCGGAATCATCACTGAATCATATCAGAACAAAACCATTGTCCAAAAAATCAGTTTTTCTAAGGCAAAATTATATTAACGTAAATTTAAGTAAAATTCAGTTATATTAAAGTTAAAGAAGGGTGAAAGTTCATACATATATAAAAAAAATCAAGATAATTCATACATAACATATGTCCGAAAATACTTCTAAAATACCCACACAAAAATACATTTCAATATAAACTATTGTGTATGTCTAATCGCCTGCCTCCTCCGCCATCTGTACTGCAAGAAATTCCGTAACTTAGAAACCACGTGTTCCACTAGGGAAAACTGGGGTCTACCATCCATAAAGAGTCCCGACTCTATGGTTGTTTTACCCGTCTCAGCAACACACTGACATACTACATTCACTCTCTTTGTCTGCTCGTCTCGAACCTTAAGCACCTTCTGATTAGCTGACCTAGGTGGTTCTCCAGGAGCGTCTGGTGTCATGATAGGGTGTGACACTCTATAGAACAATGTTATGTAGCTCTCATCATAAACCTATTATAGATGAGTTGGCTCCCAAGGATACTCCTTTGGTACCACGTGACTTTCTAAATTATTCAGTATCACCTGTAGATCTCAACGACGCACACCAGGAGAAACAGAATTATAGGGAGGTCTCGGAATAATATGCAAGTAGTCGAACTGGTGAATCACTCACTCGATCAAATATGGATACATAATAGATGCTCCATATCACAGCCAACCGAAGTATAAGGAAATTACGCCAAACTAGCGATTCTGATGGTGACCCTCGTAGGGGAAAAAGCAAACCTTATCTGGTACCATACGAACAAGAGAGATTCTGAGTGGCTCGACTGCACCATTCCCCCTTGTAAGGAAAAAAAGAGGCTGCAGGAGGCCAATTCAATGTGTAGTCTGGTGCAACTTCAAACCCGATGATGCGAGGGAAGTGAGAGATGATTCATCCCTGAAAATGGTTTGGATACAATACTAATAACAAGTGTAACAAATGAATTATGAAAATAATAGTAGCAGGAAATTACCATAAGTAGCGTGCAACACCCCGTCATCTGCTTTTTCTTCCAAAGACAAGCCTCGCCCATCTTCAAGTACAGGTAGACCAAACAGGTGTCCCTCTAGTTATACTTGTGAATCACACTCAGGTGTATGAAGTACTTGAGGTATACCACATCTATATATGTTGCACTTTTGTCCAAAAACATGGATGTGTCAACCAAGAACAAGAGGTAACACCTCAATTCACAATGTCAATGGTTCTCAACCTGCACACCATTTCCTGCGACATCCGTAGCCCCTTCACATTATCATTATAAAAGGGTTTCCAAAAATCTAAACTGTGCATAAGTACCTTTCGTATGAGTTTCCTCCTTCGGCGCTTTACCAAAGTCATCCTTCAACAGGGTGACCATCATATCGACCCCTTCCTGTCACCCAATCCTCCTCTGGTCTAGTATTTTCCCCCTGATGGGAAAATTTATGAGGCAAGAGACGTCATTCAAAGTAATGGTCATCTCTCTTATAAGTAGGTTGAAAGATGACGTATCTGAGTTCCACCTCTCTACAAAAGTTGCCTGCATGTTGTGTGGTTTATTGAGAAGTATGTAGAAGAACATAAACAGGCAAGACCGAAATAATGGATTACATCAGTGAGCTAACGATAAGTGGGTTGTGGCAACACCAGACTCTTCCTGCTTTGGTTAATCATTTTGAAACAATCACGCTCTTGAAAAAAGAAAACATAATCAATATCTATTTAATTAGTTGACCACATATGTATTGCAAAAGAAAATAAATATACCTCTCTATTCCAAACATGCCTAGTAGCATGATCTACATAATTATAAAGTAAGGAGGTGTCATATGTCCCTCCTGGATAACTCTCTAATGGGGCATCCTGATTGGCTTCCTCTTGGGCTTCAGGGTCAACAGAGGCCCCACGATCCTTAGGTTTTGCTGCATCATATGAATGAGAGAGAGAGTTGGCTACAAAAACTAGACGTTCAGACATGCAAAGTAGATGTTATCAGTAACTCGGAGCCTCGTGGTCCTCGTTGCAACCCTCCTACATTGTACCAATGTGGTATGGGACACACGCCCGAGCCTAACTCGACCAGTGTTGTCTTCATTCGTTGCACTCGCGTTATAAAACAGAAACAAATATAAGCCATGCCCGGAGAAATTCACAAAATGTCTCAATTTTTTTAGTGTTCAAATCCAAAGATGTATCTCTAAAAAAATGCAGATTAAATCCAAAGATACATCTTCGGACAAACATGTGATTGTCTCATGGCATATACGTCATTTCTGCCCTAACAATCCCAAGAAAAACTCATTGCATGTTGTTATGACCTACTAATTTTGTTTACACTACTACCTAAAGTGCCTAAAGTAGCTAATGTATCCTAAAAAAACTAACTACAAATCAAATCATAAAAAGAAGAAGTTATTTGAAAAACTTACCAAATAAAATTGATTGATAAGAGCGAGAAGCTTGGATGAATGGATGCATCTTTGGACACACTTCTCACATACGAAGATGTATCTCCGATTATATTTTAACGTAAAAAAAGGTGTCTCTTCAATTTAGAATGAGAAATTGCTAAAATAAGTGCGTTCAGAGATACATCTTCAAACGCTAGGGATATTATGAATTTTTCACGATGGTGTGGGAGCAACCATAAGGGTGAAAAGAGCATTATCCTAATGTTATAAATGTGCCTTAAAATATACTCATCAATAAACATTGACATTCTCTTCGATGTTTATTGTTTGTGGATTGCGTATTGTACCTAAGTATTGCTTCCCTACCTTAAGGAAAAAATAAAATTACCTATATAATTTGAAAATACACCTCCTAAATCACTTCATTGACATTCATTTATGAGACGGGTCCTAAGACTATGTCAAAAAAATTATGGAAATGCATCTTCGTGTAACTTACGAAGATGCATCTCCGAACATTATTTTAGATGGTATCATGGAGGCGGCACAGACGACACTACAGTATAGAAGACAACGTAAGAACAGAGGAGCTTGAGTCCGATATCCTGAATAGTGTATAACATTTGTATTAGGAACATTATTATCGTTTGCATTTTATTTTGACTTCATTATGTATTCTAGATTCATATATATTTGACATTTCCATATTATTTGATAAATTTATGATTTAATTTATATAAAATTTAAAATGATAATATAGTTATAATACATCGTCGATTATATTAGTGTATTTCTAAAACAAAGTTAAAATTTACTATTTAGTGTGAATATAAAGATGCATCTTCGTATTCTGTCTGAGGTGTTTACGGAAATATATCTCCGAATCAATTCATGTCAAAATGAAATGTTTCAATCACGAATGCATCTCCAGACTCAAATTTGAGAAAAATGTGAGGGTGAGACTCAGTTAGGACATGTTTTGGTAAGAAAATAGCGCATTCAAAAATACATCTCTAAAATTTGAAAAATATTTTTAGTTTAGAGATGTATTTCTGACTAAAACACTATTCAAAATGGCTTACAACTATTGAGAATGGCTTGCAAGTATTATGCTTCACTATTCAACTCTAATATAGCTAAGTCTAAAGCGTCACATGAAATATTTCTCATTATAATCAAAATAGCTTACAACTATTAAAATATCTCCTTGTCAAGTTGACAATAATCTAAATTTCTCTTCCAAGGATACAAATTTTTACAAGTTCTTTATCTTCTAAAAAATTCCACCTTCAAAAGTTATTTGAGTGTTTCTAAAATAACTCCTATAAAAGAGAATATGAAATAAGTTAACTAGAAATCCCACAATCATTAACTGTTTAGGCAAATGAGCATTGCCGGTAAATTATACTAAAAGACAAGCAATAAAACACAAGACAAGGATTGTGAACCCCACCAAACATACGTAAGTTTTGTGTGGGTAGAGAAAGGAATCAAAATTCCTTTGATTCTTAACAAGAAACTCAACAAGAAGACACAATGGGCAACAGAAAGTTTGGTGGCATTAAAAAAAAACAAAAACAAGCATCTTTGTAGTTGTAAACATCGTCTTTCCTCAAACCAAACTATGTCATGTGGCCTAAACTGTGTTATAAAAAATGCTAAATTATGTGTAAAATATTAATAAAAGAGTGTCACATTTCTGAAACATTACTTAACATTGGTCATTTCATCTTTCTATATAGCTTTCTTCACATTCACTTGGAAGAAAATACCTTAAAAGTACTACTGAACTAGTTAAGCCACTTAGTTTAGTATCTGCTTATTTCAAATTTGAATTAAGTAGTGTGATGAGTATACCGTTTTCTGTGGCAGTAAAGCCTTCAATCATAAGGAATAATAGGAAATCGTGTGGTAGAAGATATGATGTCATAACATCAGAATTAACCATGGTTCCAAAACATAAAACCACGGCTTTTCCTCAATTGTCAAAACAAAGAGTTTCTGTTGCTGATTTACATGTACAAGAAGTTGTTGAAAAGCAGTCTCGGACCGCCGATTCTGATACTCCATGTCTTAGTAGTTTCAAGGCAAAGTTTGAGCCTAGTTTTCTTAAAAACGCGTATGAAATGTGCAGAAACATCTGCGCTGAATATGCCAAGACATTCTATCTAGGAACTTTACTTATGACTGAAGAAAGACAGAAGGCTATTTGGGCTATATACGGTAAGAACTTGAAAAACAAGATAGAAACAAATATATATATGATGATTTGAGACTTGTTTGTTATTGAAATTTGAAACCTTTGTTTGCAGTTTGGTGCAGGAGGACAGATGAGTTGGTAGATGGTCCTAATGCTGACTATATGAGCTCTGCTGTTCTTGATAGATGGGAAGATAGATTGCATGACATTTTCAATGGACAACCCTATGATATGCTTGATGCTACTCTTACCGATACAATTTCCAAGTTTCCCTTGGATATTAAGGTAACAACTAGAACTCGTTAACGATCAATTCTCATACTTTCGTAATGTGTTAGCGACGAATTAACTAGTAGGACTTGTCTTTGATCATAGCCTTTTAGGGACATGATAGAAGGTATGAGAATGGATACGAGGAAAACGCGATACAAAAATTTCGAAGAATTATATCTTTACTGTTACTATGTGGCGGGAACTGTTGGGTTGATGAGTGTTCCAGTAATGGGAATCGCGCCGGAGTCTCTGATTCCTGCTCAAAGTGTATATAAATCAGCATTATATCTTGGTATTGGAAATCAACTCACAAACATTCTTAGAGATGTCGGGGAAGAGTAAGTTCATAATTTATAATTGATTTGATTCACTTCATTTTTCTAAAAGTTCACTTTTTAAATATTCAATGTACTAAAGGATTAACAACGTTTTGTTTGAGTATAGTGCATTAAGAGGTAGAGTGTATCTTCCACAAGATGAACTTGGTGAGTTTGGTTTATGTGACAAAGATGTTTTCTCAAGAGAAGTGAGTGAAAGATGGAAAGAGTTTATGAAACAGCAGATTGCAAGAGCAAGATTCTACTTCAACTCTGCAGAGGAAGGAGCTTCTCACCTCGACAAGGCCAGCCGTTGGCCGGTACATACATTTTACACTATCAATCAATCATAATCGACTGATTATACATGTGATAACGGTTTGGTTTATGTGTGATTTGCAGGTTTGGTCGTCTTTAATATTGTATCGCAAGATCTTAGACGCAATCGAAGACAACGATTACGACAATTTGACAAAACGAGCTTATGTAGGACGAGCTGAGAAGTTTGTGTCATTGCCTGCAGCTTATACTAGATCTCTCTCAATTCCCAAAACTAATTTGCATTCTTCCTTCACAAGACTTTTGTAGCAAAATTGTACTGGATATTTGTTAAAATTGCAAAATGCATACAACAAAAATGAAAATTCATGGAATTAAACAGTTTTATTATTATTCATCAGCAACGATGTATGACAGAATATATTTATTAATTGGTCAAGTACAGTCTGTAATTAAAAACTTCCATCATTATGGGAGTTTTGTATTAACAGGTGGAATCCACATGTGAACTTGTCTCAAGTTCTGGTTAAGAGTGATTACAGAAATACAAGAATAAAATAAATAAAATACTTTGATCAGCAGGGATCTTCAATGTCACGTTCTTTCTGCAAGGTTCCTTTTGTCGTGTGTGTTTTTTCTTATTTGGAGTTCGGCTATATAGTTCATCTTATGTATCGAAAATTGGAATAATAAAGTTATGATTCGAGAGATCTAAATATTGTTCAAATATACTTTAGTGATTTGACTCTAAATATGAATATGGTAGTGAAATGGTTCCATGGTGAAAAATTCCATGAACTCTTATATTAATAGTGATTCAAAGAATTAGAATAGAGAAGCTCACTTATATATGAGTGAGTATGAGAATGAGAGGACTAACTTTAGTTAGGTAGTTGCACAACTATTTATTAACTAACTATCTAACTAATATAAAGTCAAAAGATCTTAATATTCCCCTTCAAGTTGGAAGATATATGTTACAAATTTTCAATTTGACTATAAGATCATGAAACAAATTCCTTGGCAAAGCTTTGGCGAGAGGATCGGCCAGTTGATGAAATTAGCAGCCACATGTTCCATAATAAAGTGACAATGTATGTCAATGTGCTTAGCTCTCTCATGACTTATTGGATTATTTGCCATTTGGATGGCTGACGTGCTATCACAAAACACCTTACATGAAGGTACTTTGATGTCAAAGGCTCTTAGAAGTTGTTTTAGCCACAACAACTCAGATGTGACTGAAGTCAATGCCCTATACTCGGCTTCAGTCGACGATCTTGATACAGCGACTTGCTTTTTGGACTTCTAAGCTACTAATGATTCTCCAATGGAGATAAAAAAACACCAGTGGTGGATTTTCTGGTTGTTGTGCAGCTTCCCCAATGTGCATTAGAGTATGTAGAGATGTGGAGTGAAGAATTTGGTGAGAATAAAATTCCTTGCCCTGATGTGCCTTTCAAGTATTGTAAAATGTGGTTGATCTCATTCATATGCTGATTTCTAGGCTTTGACGTGCATTGGCTGAGCTTGTGCACAACATATGATATGTCTGGTCTTGAAATGGTCAGATACAATAATCTGCCAACGATTATTCTATGTTGAGAGACATCCTCGAGTAAATGACCTTCTTAGTCATTGAAATTGGCACTAGGATCTATAGGCAGAGATGTAGTTTAGCATTTACAAAGCCTGTATCCATGAGAAGCTGTAATGTATATTTACTTTGACACAAATGTATCCCTTTGTTGGAATAAACAATTTCTAAGCCAAGAAAGTACTTCAGGTTTCCTAAAAGCTTTAGTTTGAACTGATCTTGAAGCATGCTTTGAGTTTCTTGGACAAGTTTAGATCACGGCTGGCAAGAACTATATCATCTACGTAGACCAAAAGAGTAACAAGAGATTTACTTGTTCCTTTTGTAAATAGAGAGTGGTCTGTTGATGTTTGTGTGAAGCCATATGCCATGACTATTGTGGAGAACTTGTGATACCATTGTCTTGAGGCTTGCCTTAATCCATAAAGTGATTTGTTAAGCTTGCATACCATGTTTCCCCCTCACTTGGATAGCCAAGTGGTAGATCCATGTAGATTTCCTCAAACAAATCACCATTCAATAAGGTATTATTAATATCAAGTTGAGCAAGTTTCCAGTTCTGGGCAGCAGCTATACTGAGTACAACTTTGACTGATGTGAGTTTTGCCACTGATGAGAAAGTATCTATGAAGTCAAGGCCAGGTTGTTGAGTGTAACCTTTGACAACCAATCTGGTTTTGTGCTTGTCCAAGAACCCATCAGCATGATACTTGGTTTTGTATATCCGCTACACCCAATGGTCTTTTTACCTTTTGGCAAAGGTTGTATGGTCCAAGTATTATTTGCTTCTAGGGCTTCTATTTCTTCACTCATAGTTGTACACCATTCAGGTATTTTGGCTGCTTGGTGGTAAAATTGTGGCTCATAGACAGATGCTACATTCATGACATAGTCCTTGTATTGAGCATACAAATTATCATATGAGGATAGTTCATAAATTTGATGAGGGACATGGCACACAAAGTCATTGAGATAGGTAGGAGTTCTATGAGTCCTTCTGGATCTTCTGACTTCAGGGGAATTATGGTCATGAGGAACAATAGGATTTTCATCCAAAGTAGGATCTGCTGGAGCATTATTTCCAGGATGCTCAACAACATGGACTGGTACATTATTCTCATAGTCATGGGGAGAATATACACAAATAGGGTTGGGTATGACTACATTATGAAATGGATCATCATGCGTGTTATTGTCAGAGATGGAGTGCAAAGGAAAGGTATCTTCATGAAACACAATGTCTCTAGAAATGTGAAAAGTTTGAGATACTAGGTCATATAATTTGTAACCTTTATATCCAGCAGGGTAGCCAAGAAAGACACAAGGAATAGCTATGGGTGTAAATTTGTTTCTATGTTGAGGAATTGTTGAAATGTAGCATAAGCAACCAAAAAATTTAAATTTTGAGTATGTAGGTAGTTTATCATAGAGAAGCTCAAAAGGAGACTTACTTTTCAAGACCATGGAAGGTGTTATATTTATGATGAAGGTGTTTGTGGCTATGCAATCACCCCAAAACCTGACTAGTAGTTTAGCTTGAAACATTAAGGATCTGACCACATTTAGCAGGTGTTGATGCTTTCTCTCAACCACAGAGTTCTGCTCAGGTCTGTAAGGGCAAAAGTATTGGTGAATGGTGCCTTGCTCATGAAGAAACTGAGTCATCTGCAACTCCTTGCCATTATCAGACCTCATAGCTTTAATAGCCTTGCCAAATTGAGTCTTTATCATGGTAAATAATTGTTTGATTTTGATAGGAGCCTCTGATTTGTTAGCAATCAAATAAACCCATGTAAAGCGACTGAAATCATCAACAATTGTTAGAAAATAAGACTTTCCATCATAAGTAGTTTTTCCAAAAGGATCCCATAAATCACAATGAATAAGATCAAAACTATTGGGAGAAAAATTATTAGCAGATTTAAAAGGAAGCCTCTTTAATTTGGCTAGAGGACAAATGGTACACTTATTGGAATCAAAATTAGTTGGAACAATTATTTGTATCTTATTGCTAGCAGTTCTTAACATAGAATCAAAAAGATGTCCTAATCTATGATGCCATAATTTGGCATTGTTATTGGAAGGAATTGTATTACAATAGCTAAGATTAGTACAAGGCTTATGTGAACTATCATTAGGCTTGGTATTGTTGGCCTTGAGAATGTATAATCCTGAAATGAGGTTACCCTTGCTAATCATCTTGGATTGTTTGGTGTCCTGAATGCAAAAATGATGACCATCAAAAATCAATTGTAGACTAGGTATCACAAGTAACTTGGCTATTGAAATGAGATTAACATGGAATAAGGGAATGTATAGGACATTATGAAGGGTCAATTTATTATTGACAGTGACTTTTCCAATGGCTTTGAAATATGAACTCCATTAGGAAGAGTGAAAAATGTATCTAGCAAGAGTTTATAGGAATGAAACAAAGAGATGTTGCAGCAAATATGGGAAGTAGCACCTGAATATATGATCCAAATACCAGAAGATTGTGATTTATGTGAGTCAAGAATGGAAAAAAGCATACCTATGACAGAGTTGATAGAAGAATTTGCCTCAGAAATCCCATCCTATGATATTTGAGCTTGCAGATACTCAATAATTTGTTGGAAGTTCTGTGAAGACATGGCTGCCACATCAGATCCTGCTACATTGCTTGAAATGCTTTGCTCATGAACATTGTTGGTTTGTTGTAAAGGCTTGGAAACTTGAGCAATCTTCCTATATCCTGTAGGGTATCCATGAATCTTGAAGCATTTTTCTTTTAGATGGCCAAGCATACCACAATGAGCATAAGTTGGTCTTTCCTTCTTGGAATTCTTAAAACCAGTTTGTACAGCACATGCCATATGAGTTTAATTGTGTGGAAGGGAAGTGAGTTCTCTTTGTTTCTCATCTTGAGTAACCATTGAAATAACAACATTGATGGATGGTAATGGATCCATGAGTAGGATTTGATCACACACCTGATTGAATGATTCATTTAGTCCCATCAAGAAGGTAAGGGTGTGCTCACTTTGAAGATGATCAACTATGGGTTGTACACCATCACAGTAACACGTATGAATAAGCCTGAATTCACCTAATTATTCACACAACAACTTAAATTGTGTGTAATAAGAACTTAAAATTGAAGAACCTTGGGTGCAGTTCATGAGATTCTTCTTCAGTTGAAACACACGAGGACCATTTTTTTTCTTCTGAAATCGATCGTGCAACTCGCGCCATATTTCTGCTGCATTGGCTACATAGATCACACTTACAGAGATTTCCTTGGAAACAGAATTGAGGAGCCAAGAATATACGGTGCTATTGTTTCGCATCCAAGAACGAAACTAAGGAGAGTCTTCTACAGGTTTTGGAATTGTGCCATCCACAAACCCCGATTTATTCTTTCTATCAAGGGCCATGAGCATGGCACGACGCCATGAATTGAAGTTATCTTCTACCAACTGTTGAGATACCAAGACAAATCTGGGATGACCGGAGGAATGAAGATAATAGGGATTATCATGGTTAGCCATGAGAGAAACGAATCACAAAGAAAGAGAAATGAGGAAAAAAGAGGAAGGAGGAAGAAGGAAGAAGTGGAAGCAAAAATCAGAAATTTTCTGCTAATACCATATTGTAGTAAAATGGTTTCATGGTGAAAAACTCCATGAACTCTTGTATTAACAGTGATTTAAAGAATTAAAATAGAGACGTT